TTTTTTTTTTTTGTTTTTCAAGACAGGGTTTCTCTGTGTAGCCCTGGCTGTCGTGGAACTCACTCTGTAGACCAGGCTGGCCTCGAACTTAGAAATCCGCCTGCCTCTGCCTCCCAAGTGCTGGGATCAAAGGTGTGCGTCACCACTGCCCTGCGAATCTCTTTTAAAAAATTAAAGAAATAGTACCTCAAAGATTCATTAGTTTTAATTACATTACCATCCGTTGTCCTCATGAGAGTCAGCTTTCTAGAGAGAAGGGAATACTTTTAATCTCTAAAACATGTTGGCTGCTTGTACCTGGAGATCTCAGGATTGTCATCCCACCAAACTTTTCACCTTTTCTGCATTATTATAACTAGCTGACATCATTACAGAAATAAGAGACCCTTGGTTTTCTAGTTAGAAAATTAGATGTTGTCTTGTTCAATCTCATCTAATAACTCCCAACAGGAAATTGAACAGCGATTACAGCAGCAGGCAGCACTGTCCCCAACTACAGCTCCAGCTGTGTCCAGTGTCAGTAAACAGGAGACCATCATGAGACATCATACACTTCGGCAGGTGAGGAATCTTTCCACAACCCTGCTTTCTCTTAGGGGCTGACCTTCTGCAGGAAATGGTTCTGTTCTCTTTTTACGTCTTTGGGTCTTTTGAACTTCTATAATGGCAAGGTTTCATCAACTATCCTGTTCCCTTTTTGCAGGCTCCTCAGCCCCAGAGCAGCCTCCAGCGTGGTATACCCACATCTGCCCGATCCATGCTTTCAAACTTTGCACAGGCACCCCAGTTGTCTGTGCCAGGTGGCCTCCTTGGTATGCCAGGTAAGAGGGGTCAGTTTCAGAGCTTAGCTCCCAGGGATGACTCATTAGTAGATAGTCTTTTCTTTGATGATCTTGTATAGCTCAGGCTGGCTCTGAGCTTGCTGTGCAACCAAAGCTGTCCTACTTCTGCCACTCCCTAGCCCCAAGTACTAGAATTATGGGCATGTACCACCTAGCTCTAGTGTACAGTTCTTTTTGTGCAGGGGGTTGCATGTGTGTATGGCCACATGTATGGAGAGGCTAGAAATCAGTCTTGAGTGTCATTCCTCAGGCACTGCCCCCCCCCCCCCCCTGGTTTTTGAGATAGGATCTCCTGTTTTCCTCTAGCTTATAAAGTAGGTAGGCTCACCAACAAGCCCCAGATATCTGCACCCCATTGTTAGGATTATAAGCATGCACTAACAAACCTGACTTGTTTTATGTGGCTGTTAGGGATCAAGCTCAGGTCCTGTTTGTGTGGCAAGCACTTTGCTGACTGAGCTCTCTCTCTCCAGCTGTAGTATACAAATCTTTTTTTTTTTTTACTTATAGTGAGCCATCATGTGTGTGCTAGGAATTAAGCCTCAGTCCTCTAGAAGAACAGCCAGTGCTCCTTTATTTGTTTGGGTTTTTCTTTTTAGGGGATTCTTAATGGGGGTGGGGGGGGTGTAGGGACAGTTTTTCTCTGTACACCCATGGCTATCCTGGAACTCACTCTGTAGACCAGGCTGGCCTTGAACTCAGAGATCCTCCTGCCTCTGCTTCAATGCTGGGATTAAAAGTGTCACTATCAACTACTGAGCTATCTCTAGCACCTATGCACAAATCTTTAGCAACCCCTTTAGACTCCATTGTTCCTTTGTTTTCTGTTTTCTTATGCCATAACTATTCTTTTTTTTGGGGGGGGGGGGTTTCGAGACAGGGTTTCTCTGTGCAGCCCTGGCTGTCCTGGAACTAACTCTGTAGACCAGGCTGGCCTCAGAAATCCACCTGTCTCTGCCTCCCAAGTGCTGGGATTAAAGGCGTGCGCCACCACCGCCCGGCTGGCCATAACTATTCTTTTGTTATTCAGCAAATGAATTTTTTCTAAGTCATGAGTGCACTAAGACTTTGGTAAAATTGTTTCTACCATTATAAATTTAATTCTGATATGCTTTCATTGAGCATGTGAGTTCTAGAACAGCATGATCAACTGTCCAGCATGAATGATCTAGATTCTTCTCCACACTTCATTGGTCCCAAAATCAAAACAGATCATTGATTCTTTCTCCATTTCAATAATTTTTCTGTCACCAATGCTTCTCTTTCGTCTATATTGTACTGTAAAGATGGTTCATTATTCCTGATAGGACTGACGTTTCTGGAGGACCTTTCTCTGAAGCTTGGAAGTAAGAGTGTAGCTGCTGCTGAAACCAAGCTAGCTGAGGCTAGAGAAGTACAGACCATTGCAAATAGTTCCTTCCCATCTCTAACTGCAATCTGGGATAGGACAAAGGGGTGTCATTTCTTCTCTTAATACCTGTCCCCTCCTTTTGTCTCATGAATCTAGGTGTCAACATTGCATACTTGAACACTGGCATCGGAGGACATAAAGCCCCAAGTTTGGCAGACCGGCAGCGTGAATACCTTTTAGACATGATCCCTCCCAGGTCTATATCGCAGTCCATCAGTGGGCAGAAATAACGCCTGTTCCACTTGTACTGCCCATCCTTGAATCCTTTACCCATTTCTCCCATTGCCCCCAACTTCCGTCGCATGCAGTGCCTGTACTGGTGCCTACCATACACGGAAAGCAAAACCGAAAAAAAAAAAAAAAACAGAAGACAAAAATAGACATCAACAAGAAAACACACGCCCTGCCCTGCCACCTCCCCTTTATTTCACACTGCTGCAATCTGTTCTCCTGCTGCTCTGTCTTCTATCTTCGATTTCCTTTAACAGTGAGGTGGATCTTTGCCTCTGATAGAGGTCAGAATGAGGTCCTGGGGAGAATTTAAGCCCTTTGATGTGTGTTTCTAAAGTTTGTTTTATGCTATAATTATTATCATTTTTAATTATATTGTGTGTTTTCCCTTTGTTCTGTAGACGGTTAACTCCCATCTTCTGTTTTGTTTCCTACCTCCCTCTGCTAACCCTCCTTTTTAAAAAAAAAAATATATATATATATATAGATGATATACAATTCAATAACCACATGCAGATTACTGTGGATCCTCAGCTGCCAATAGGAAATAACTGAGAATGTTAGGGACAGAGATGTTGAGTGCACTTAACCTGAGTTGTGGAGTGGGTATCATCAAGCAAGTGGGAATAGCATCCCAGCTATGGTTGGTCAGGATCTGGAGAGTTTAGGAAGCAATGTTTTAGTCATGAAGTTGAGCTCTGTGACAATGAATAAAAGAGCCTAGCTAGAGGAAGAAGCTTAAAACAAAAACGACCTGTAGTTTAACCATGGGATATGGGGAAGAAGTATGACGTACGTTCAGTAGTGTCCCCAAGAGGGCTGCAGCCAGGTCCTGGCCTTCTAGGTGCTTGGGGAGTAAGATGGGTCTCCTGACCCCAGTGAGGACACCGAAGTCTGTTCCAGGCCAATCATCTTGAAATTGTTTATCTTACTTTCTTTGTAAAATTGTCTCTCATTCACACCTTCATCCCTTTAACAAATGTTCATCTTCCTTCTGACCGCGGTCCCAGAGGAGTAGGTGTTTCCAGGCCACAGGAGGCTGGGTAACCTAGACGTTGGAATAGGTATACGTGAATCATGTGACAGAAGGGGAAACTAGACAGAGAGGAAGAAGAGGTTTCTCCCAGTGGTTGAGATTCTCACGTTTCTATCCCTGTACCCTCTGAGTGCTGAGAGATAATGGGTGTAGGCCCCAAGGCCCCAATCAGGTTGATATTCCACTCTGACCCTGCTACGCTGGCTGTGGATCCAACTTCTCAGAGCCAAGCAATCTGTCCAACCAGCTTTGGACCTCAGCTATACCAGTATTGTCTTCCCCCAAAATTTTGTTCATTTTGCTTTTTTTTTTTTTTTTTTTTTTTTTTTGCCACTATTGTGGAGAATAAATTGAATTGTGCAATGTCGCTGTCCTGAGGTTAGGGAGGTTAGCATCCTGTTTGCCCACACTGTGGGAAGGAGGAGGAGGGGGACCAAGCTATTTTTGAGGTAAGGGAAGCCTGAAAATGCAGGGTTTCTGCTTTCCTCATAGAGTGTACATGAGCCTGCCTCTACAGCTCTAGAAGCCACCAGAGTGTACTAGAGACACTTTGAGCAAAGATGTATGAGGAGTTTTATAATATTTTGCCCTTGATAGTCACCTGAGGAAATTTCCTCGTTTTTATTTTTAAAAACTAAATAATTTTTTTAAAGTAAGAAGGCACTTTTAAAATTATACACACACACAGAAACTGCACACCTTTCCCATAAAATTTGGGGGTAGGGTGGGAAAAGAAGCTAGATCAAGCTCAATTCCCCTGCTCTGGTCTCTTCTTTCCCAATACCCCAGTGCCACTGTGGGTGATTATACTGGCCCTACGGGTCTTCCTGGCTTTTTTCTTTCTTCCCTTTCCCTCAAATTTATTGAGCACTTAATATGGAGCAGAGATACAGCCGTGTCTGGGCTCCCCAAGTGGTGAATGACCTGGAAGCTAGATGCTAGTAACAAGTAGTCTGAGCAGGTCATTTCATGTATTTTTCTGGGGAATGTGGTGCCCCTGACTGTAAGTGGTGGGGGAGGGAGGGGGGCTAATGGAGCTGGGTTTGGGATTATCTTAAAATTATATATATATATATAAAGATATATTCTTACATCTTTTCCTTGCCCTCTGTGCTTTGAAAGCACTGAATAAATTGATTCTGTTTTTCTCTTCCACAAAATTGGAAGATTTTTTTTTCTTCCATTTTTTAAATGTTCTTACCAGTCATCTTGCCTTGTGGCATGTCTGTCTAACCTCTCCAGAGCTACCCCATGATGAAGTGCCATTTCTGTTAAGTCTCCCTGACCCCCAACTCAGAGGTGCTCAGAGGTACAAGGTTCCCAAGTTTGTCAGTTGAGATTAAAAGGAACAGAGAATGTGCAATACCGTCCAGCTGGGGCCTGTCCTTGCCCTGAGCTAGGTCCTTTCCCTGGGAGCCAGGCCACTTTGACTAGGGTTTGGAAGAAAGACATACAGAAATGGGGAGTGGTGGTGGCAAGGAGAGCCCATCCATAGTCCAGTGCCTGTTTAGGTGCTGAGGCCATGGGGAGAGGGGAGGGTCTTCCCTGTTTTTATCCCTTCAGGGTCAGTTACATAGAAGCTGCTTACACTACTAGTATAGCTCTGTGGCCCTGTGCTCAGTCGCTGAGGTTTGATTTCTCATCCTCTTTGCCCATCATCATATTCTTCCCAGGAATTAGCAAGAGGGGTGAAATCTTTCTTAATCATGGTAAAGTATTAGCTTCCATCTTCTCCCTTAGGTCCTGTCCCTGTCCCGCTTTCTTCAGGCCTCTACATTTTACATCACTGATTTGCCTTGTGTCCTTCCAAGCCTTTTTTTTTTTTTTTTTAATTAACTCTCATCCTTCAGCTGTGGGTCCTTACAGATACTAACCTTCATGCCCTAAGGATAGGAGGAAAGACCCTGAGTTCAGTGGTCGTTTACCATTGGACTTTGACTCTCAGGTATCAGTAGAGTGGGGATCCAACCAGTACAATCTAGCTTCCTCTAGGCCTTGAGGCACTCATGACAAGCAGACATTCGTGGATGGTGTCTTACTCCACAGCAACCTTAAATGGGTGGATTAGTGGCAAGGCTGGGGTAAAATTAGGAGACAAAATTCCTTATTTGTCAGTTTTATTTTGTCACTAGACCACAGCATCTGAACTCCCTCCATTGCTGAATAAGTATTTTTCCTGCATTTTGGGATATATGTATGGTAGACATTTCTTTTTAAAGACACCGAGATAAATGTTTTCCTGCCTTGGTTACCTTTCCTTTTCCCTTTAAAAGGAATTAGCTATAGAACTGCTTTGTAAAGATGCTTCTTGATATTTTACTTTTGTTCCTTTTCCCAACCATTCCCATTTCCCCCTTTTTTCTAGAAGGCATAACCCTTCTCTCTACAGCCCCTATCCCACTCATCCTAGGCTCCCTTCCTTTCCATCACGGTCTTCATTAGCTTACGATATTTGCTGCCGAGATGTTATAACAAGGACTCATTCATGTATATAAGCTATTTCTTGATCCATTTAAAAGGAATTGTACATTGTGTAGAAAAAAAAAAAACATGAAAAAGAGAAAAAAAAGCCCTAGCCATGGATATTGTGAAACTGTGTTATGTCATTTTGTAATGTGCCCGTTTGTGTATGATCCGTGCAAAAGGGTTTCTGGGGAAGGGGAGGGTGGAGGGAGGCAGGACTGTGGAGGGTGGGGAGAGGAGTGGGCCGGGCCCAGCACACTGAGACTGGCAGCTGCTCCAACCCCATCCCTCCTTAAAGATGCCACCTCCCCCACCACCCACCCCTATTTTGTGCCTTGCCCTCCCCACCCTGGAGTAATCCCTCCAGGTCACCAGCACTGCCTTGGCAGAGCCCACTCCCTACCCTAACCTGCCCACTCTTCCTACCCCCCAGCATTAGGTTGATAATGTGGGAAAGTGCTGGAGGTTGGGAGGTAGCCAAGGAATTGGGCAGTTCCTGGGGGCATTGAAACCAAGTATTATTATGAATTGTAATTGTATTTGCACTGTTTTCCCCCTCTGATTGCATCAGCATATATACAATATACCTATATAACAAAATCCAGTGTCAAAGCTTTCTTATGCAAGGGATTTCCCCCACCCTTCAGAAAAAGAACCTCATGGACCTCTAAAAGGGTAGATTGTCAGGAGATAGTAGAAAGACTTTTAATTGTCCTAAGGAAGTTCTATCTGAACCATTTAAGGATATGTGGTTGAGTTGAGGCTGTCTCCTATGAATTACAGGGCTCCAGGTCCAGGACTGTACAAAGACTCCAGGGCACAGGAGGCACAGTGTGGATACCTGGGGCCTACTGACTTGCTGTGTGAGCTTTGGTGGAGCTGGTGTCTTCAGCCAGTGAAGTGAGGGAGGAAACCACTGACCTCCATGCTTAAATTCCACAATCCTTTCCCCATCTGCCAAAAACCAAAAAGCACCTTGGGGTGAGGGAAGTGCTGGGTTGAGAGACCAGAGAGGAAATGAAAGTGACTTGCTAGTGTTACTTGTATGACAGTGTCCCTGGAAAGTTGCCAGTCCCGTGGTTCAACATTGGTATGGGAGAGGTGGCAGTGATGTAGGGCAGTAGTGTAGTTGGACTGATTGCATCTTGGCCCTTGTCATGTCATGACCAGGCTCCAAGCCTCACCTCACAATCACAATCCTTAAGGGTGGTTAACCAGCAAGCGTCCCCCCAGGTTGGTAAGCTAGTTGCTGTCTCTGAGCTATAGGATGTGGAATTTCCCTCATTTTGGTAACAAGTCGGGCTCAGATGTGGCCCACATCTTTCCTTCCCTCAGATCTCATCTGAACCCCAAAGGCAACTGTTCCACAGTCTGTCTCTTCAGAGACCCAGTTTATCCCCCCTTCCCTGGGCTGAGTATCTCTATTCTCAAGTTGTTGCCACTGAAGCCTGGAGGACACATAGGTCGATGGGTGAGGCCTTGGTGAAGGTGGAGGATAGATGGGATAGGTGGTGGGGAGCAGGGAGGTGGGATGGCAGCGGCCTTCCCTGAATAGGGTGGGTGGGAGGGAACAAGACCCTTTTGCACAACTCTCTTAAGTTTCCTTTTTTCTTTTTTTCTTTTTTTTTTTTAACTCATTCTAATTTTCTGCATTGTGTTTGGGAAATAAAATGA